CACGCCCTGGCAGGGCCGGGGGAGCGTTGGGGCAAGAGACGCTCTGCAATTTTACTGCCATGAAATTGGCTCCAGATGGAAGCGAGGAAAGGTGTTTACTCCTTGCTAGGGCCAGACACAGAAAGACCTGAAGTACCTATCGCCTTCGGTCCCTAATTCCCCAATGCTGGGCAGCAGCCCCACTGCGGGTACATGGGGATGGATGGACCAGGGCTGTCTATCGCTTGGGAAAGGCCGTTTTGAACGTAATGACTTTCAGATGGTCTGTGGGCTTGGGGAAGGCACTGTGGCTAGGGGCTGGAGAAGGAGCAGAGGAAAGAGCAGCGGAGCAAAAAGGGGTCCTCCCTGGGGCGACAGAAACAATACGTGTCTTGTCAGCGCCTTCTCTGGGTTTACTCTCCAGAGGCCAGCTCAGGAAGAGTGGGACCGTGGCATCCTCTGCTGTGTTCCCAGGTCCCTGATCCCCCCAAACCCATGATTCACAAGAGCAAGTCTCCCCTTGGGTTGACGTGTGGCCAGCTGGAGGGTGGAGAGGCCGGGCAGCTGCGGACCCAGACGGGACGCTGACTGAGAGCTTTGTGGCTACTGCAGACGGGAGGGGTTAGCTTCACCCACTCAACGGCACCCGCACCCCACTGACTAGTGTGGAATTGTGCCGCTCCTGCCTTTTCAGCCAGGCTGTCCGAGACTGCAGGCTGCCGGGATGGGTGTTCTCTGGCTTACAGCACCCCCTAGCACTGGCCAGAGGGATAGGGCTCCGTGAGCTCCACCTGCCATCTGAATACTGGGAAGGGGTCCGTGGGGCCAAGCCATCGGAGTCATGCAACCAATACTTACTGACTTCTTTGTTCCCAACACACGATCCCTGTCCTCAAAGGGCGTACAGTCCAGGAAGGGAAACAGATGGGTTAACAATCAATTACAGTCAACTACGTGGTGTGAAAGAAAGAAGCATAGGGTGCTATGGGGATACACAGGAGACTGTTGATGAAGGCAGGTGAGGGGAATCAGAGAAGGCTTCCTGGAGAAGGTGACATTTAAGCTGCGATCTGAGCCCAGTATAGGAGTTCAATGAATTTGGGAAATAATGTATGGAGACAATAAGAAATGGATTTCCTCATCTTTTAGGGCTTCTGATCAAAGAGACAAACAGACAGTAAAACAACTAATTACAATGGGGCTCTATCAGAAACCAGACCTCAGACTCTCCTATGGCTTCGCCATCGCAGTGCTTGTTTTCAGCCTGAGTCATGGGGGAGGTACTCTCAATATGTGTTGATTGAGAGATTGATGGATGTGCTTCAGTCTTGGGCACATTCTATTTGCCTCAAACCTGTCTAAATGGCAAGATCTGTCTTCCCTTCAGAAATACTCACCATGACCTTGAGAACTTTCCATGGGAATCTTAGACTTTCCAAACCAAAGGGGGTCTTGGAGACCACTGGGTTATATCTTTCATCCAATAAAAATGGAAATTGAGGCCTTGATAGGTGAGGGGAGCTGTCCACACACACAACTTTTGAAACAAATCTCAGATTTTTTTTTACCCAAGCATCTTTTGTCCCCCAGAAGGAAAGGTTTCATGTATCTCTTTGCAGCACTATGCTTGGAATGTTTTCAAAAGGCATTTGATAATAATTTAAGAAGGAAAAAATACACACACTAAAGACAAACTTCTGAGGAGGAGAGAGCCGTATTGATTCAAACTGGCTCAGAGGTGATGATTATCATACTAGACAACATCAGGGCAGGTGGAATTCTCCACATGTTGGTCACTGTACCAAGAGTCTGAAACGAACTCATCTGCAGATCTGAAATGCAGATCCCGGACTGTGAGTGGCTGGGGTTTCCACTGCCAGAGCACAAGCATCAGGTCATGTGCTCCAGCGGGGGACTGAGGCCCATGAGTGTGTGGCAGAGAGCACGGGGAGGGGCCAACAGGGTAGGGGTCAGGGGCTCTGCCACTAGCTGACCATGTGATGCTGGGCCAGTTTCTTCACCAGTCTGAACTTTATTTCCCAAGGATGGGACTTCTAAACATCTGTGAGAGACTTCCCGTAGATCCCAGCATTCTGTCACGTGATATGAAGGGGATGGTCATGGAATCACCCTCCCTAGAAGAGTTCCAGCAAAGGGAATACCAGGCCAGCCTGGTAGTTTTGAGGACAGGCCAGATACATATCTGAAACTTCTTCAGCTCTTCCAAGGTTTATATTGGGTCGTTGGGAAAGTCATGACCCATTTTTGCATTGAAAAACATAGAAAAATACGTCACGACTTTCCCGACGACCCAATAAATCTATCATTGTTCTGAGCTGTCAAGAAAGCATAGGAGAGCCAATAGCTTCTTTCTTACCATTAGCCCTAGGTTCACTCCATCTAGCTTATAAAGCAGCTTGCAAAAGCAATTCTTACATATTATTAGGTCCATGGACACTATGACATCCGGATTGATGGCTGTGAGCTTTGCTTGCTGGGGGGCTGACCCTGGTAGAAGGGCTCCCCTCCAGAAGGATTCAGGGGACTCTCTCTTTCTCTTCCTCAGGGTGAGAACTGAGCTGACCTCACATGGGTGAGCACAGACTTTAGGGCGAACTACTGAACTGAAAGGGAGGCTGCACTCCAAAGACGAATGGACAAGCTTAGGACAAGGAGCAAGAGGAAATAAACCCAAAGGCAATGTCATTATCTTTCAGCTGGAAAAACAATCAGATTACTTTGCACTTACATAATTAAGTAACTGCCCTAATCAAATGCTTCAGATGCTTTCTATAAGGAACCTGCTGCTTGAAGTTCAGCAAAACGTATCTGCCTCATGCCCACGTATTCTAGGCAAGCCTTCCCTTGGAGAAAACATGGCATTTGGGACAAAACCTCAAAGTGAAAAGAAAAATGAGAAGACAGGGGCTCTATCACATAAGATGCTTATCCAAAGTGGATTTGGTCTGGAAAAGCTCATAAAACCTTTCACATGACTGGCACTGGGCAGGGATAAGGGAAACTCTCAAATCCCACCAAGTATGCCCTCATTCAACCTGGAGACCCTTGGAGTGGTCTCCTGAGTGTCCACTGCACAAGACTCAGTGGACCTATGTGCAAGTCTCCTGGGACCCTATTTTGTGCTCTGAGGCCTAAAACGCAGTGTGGCCAAGTATCTCAGGACTCAAAGTGTTCCTTGTATGGTTGGGGAAATAGTAGAACCGTATCCCGTGAAACAACGAGCAAAGTGTTAGGGTAAACATGGAGAGATGGAAAGATCTGTAGGGTTCAGGCTATCGTTAGAGCTGAGGTGGGAAGGGTCTTCAAAGATGGGAAGGCGACAAGACAGAAAAATGTGAACACTAGATTCCTTTCCTTATAGCTAAAATGTTTCAGGGAGAAAAGGAAATTTAAAAAACCTTCTTGGAAGTACCATTTCCAGTGAAATCTTCTGCTTCGGCCACCCCAAGTGTCAGTTCTCTGAGGTGTAAATAGAGGCATTTCTGAGAAAGGGGTTGAACTTGCATTTCTGCGCAGTATTCCCAGTCCTTATTTTGTTCCAAACGTTTAGTATTTCTCTAGCCAAGACATTCAAGTCTCTTTCTAAACGAGTTGAGTTGGCAGAGAAAACAAAGAGAGACGCAAGAGTAAAAAGATGGAAGATACCAGCTGCAAAAGGGCATTTGCACGGTTAGAGCTAATTCTCTTAAGGTGGAAATGAATGAATTGAGTCCCTGGCTGGTTGCTGACTCACGTCACCCTTTTGACCCGTTTCGCTCACCTGGAAAGCATGATTAAAACTTTGAGTTTTCCCTACCTGAAAGGATGATGGTGAGATATAATAAGGCGAGGGGTGCAGAATGTAAAGCAGAATCAAGGTGTTACTCAATAATAAGGATACTCATAGTATTAGTTATTTGCAGTTATTCATTACAGTTCATAGTCTAGAATCCTGGCTAATCCTCTAGGATCTGGTTTTTTACCCCCATTTCAGGTCAGTTCACCCCTAATTCCTTGCTGAAGGACGGAGACCTGTCTGCCCTAGGTGAGGTTACCATTTCCTCCTGCCCTTTCTACTTACTGTTTTTCACAGAAGTTCAAGGCTCTTGCTGTTCTCCTTGACTGGGGTTCTCTCCTTCCAGATTCCACATGGCTGAGCCATTTTGTTCACATCTCAGCCAGGATGTCACCTCCTCAGAGAGACTTTTCTCATCCTATCCCACAGAACGCAGTGCCCTCCACAGTCATGTCTAACTCATTACTCCGTTTTGTTTTTTTCATAGCGCTGTCACCATAGACAATTACCCTACGTAGTCATGGATTTACTGACGTATTGCCTGTCTTAAGTTTGGTGGGAGCAAGAACTTTGTTTAGCTCAACCCAGCATCCAGAACAGTGTTTGTTGAAAGACTTCACAATTTATCCAGGGTGAGTCTGGGGAACCGACCTTCTATTATTACAGCCAGCTTCCAAAAGGCAGATGGCTGATCACATCCAGGGAAGTCAGGGGCTGGAGGTAGGGGTTAGAGAGGGTAGGTCGTCTACCTGTTTTTTTCCCCCCTGACCCTGCTCTTTCCAAAGAAGGTGGAGAGGTGGCCTTTTCCCTACGTCTTTCTATCAGGTGCATTCAAAGTCTCCAGGGCCCAGGGCCGCCTCTGATCCGCAGAGAGGCTGGGACCGGGGTGGGTGGTAGTTGATTCTGGTTTAGGTCAGAGGAGCCCAAAGGGCAGGGTGGGCGTGTGGCAAAGGTGCGGGCGAAAGGAGGCAACGCGGGGACTGCTAGGGTCAGGCGGCGCCCCGGGGTCGGAGGCCCGTCCCAGTCCACCCACTCGCGTGCCCACAGCCGCATTATTCCCTATAAGGATCTGAACCGTCCCGGGTGGCCCCGCCCCGTCGCCCTGTGCCCCCGAACCCGCCCCCTTTTCGGAGGCCCGATGAGGTAATGCGGCTCCGCGATTGGTCGGAGGGGCGGGCCCCGAGAGCCCGAGAGGGAGTGCCCGGGGGGGACCACGCTATATCACTCGGCCGCCGGGCAGCGGCGCAGATCGGGTTCTCAGACGGCTTCTCGCTCGCCTACTTCTCCAGCTCCTGCTCCAGCTCCGGCTCCTTGACCCAAACCGAGCGCCGGCCCACGGAGTCGTGCGCCAGCGCCGAGGCCGCCTCTCCGCGCCCCATCCCGTCCCGCCGGACCCTCGGGGGGCAGCACGCCCGAGGCCGAAGTTGCCCTGCACGGCCGGGTGGCGAGCTCCGGCTGCAGCGGCCCCGCCGGCGGTGCGTCCCGCAACTTTGAAGAGGCGAGCAGCAGCCCCAGCAGCGGCAGCCGCAATGACTCCCTGGCTCGGGCTCGTGGTGCTCCTGGGCTGCTGGAGCCTGGGGGACTGGGGTGCCGAGGCGTGCACGTGCTCGCCCAGCCACCCCCAGGACTCCTTCTGCAACTCTGATATAGGTAAGCGCTCCCCGTGTCCCCGCCGGGGCCCCGCGCTGCCCGCCTCGGGCGCTGCAGCCCGGACTGGGGCGCTGCTCGGGGTGGCATGGCAAACCCCGCTCGTTTTTTTCTGCCTGGCCTTGAGGCGGGGGCTCTGGCGTAGCTGAGAGGGAGATGCCCTGTAGAGGAACCCCACCGTGGCCGAATGAACCCTTGGCAGCCTTTGCTCTCCTTTTAGGGAGTGAGGGCTCTATCGGTCCTTTTGACATCTGGAAAAATTCCCTTTTCATGATGGCGGGAGGAAGGGCTGGGGGAGAACGGTGGGAGAGGGTTCCTAAAACTTGGAATGCCGGCGAAACTGCTGGGATGTTGAAGAGTTTTTTGTTTTTTAAAACAAAACACTTGCCAGCCATGTGCACAAAAAGTTGCAGGAAAAACTTGAAGTTTTCTGAGTTTGCATCTCTTGCTCCCAGGAAGTTCGTTCTTTTCATTGAGACCCAAGCCTGCCTAGAGCTTCCAGGCAAACGCTAAGGAAGCTTCTCGGACTGCCAAGTGTGGGTGGATTTAAGGGGGAAAACGAGAAGAAAGCTGTGGGGTTGACCCTCGCCCGGAGGAACTGTGTTTGAGAGTGTTGATAGCATGCAGAAGGTGGCGTGTGTGGGGGATCACTTATCACATAGCTGTGAGAATTCACAGGAAGGCAATTTTTTTCCCCCTCAAATGTGTGTGGGGAGGGGGCGAAGGAGCCGTGGAAAATAGATTTGTCACCAAAAGAACAAAGATGCCATGGGTCACATCATGGTGACACTTCCAGACTGGACTTGTGTCTTGATGAGAAAGACTCAGTAAGAAGTAGACCTGGTTTTCATGGAGGGCCTTGAGGCTGTCCTGGGAGACCTTGTTTGGGAGTGTTCGGGACACTTGTTCGGATGGCCAGAGGTAGAGTAGCAGCTGGAAAACATCTCTCCTCTCCTTTCCAGCTCATAAAGCATGCAAGTCCAGTGGTCCCTGCGTGTGTGTGCATGTGTGTGTGTGTGTGTGTACGCACAGGCTGGGGTTGGGGTGGGACAGTCTAGCCGCTCTGCCTGTCGATTCAGAGGTGAAGAATGGAGCATGTGTATTTTAAGTACAGTCATAAAGGGGAAGGAAATTTTCCACTGGGTCCTGGGTGAGGGCCTCCACAAGTGTGCTGCAGGGGAGGAGGGGGAGGAGGCAGGAGCCTGGCAGGGGAGGCAGCTGAGGCTGGGAGGGGTGCTGCTGGGGGGGCCTGGCCTCGCTTAGAAGTCAGGGAGGTGGCGGTGGTGACCAGGTCAGTCCAGTTGGCAGGTGTGGCTGTTCGTGTGGCCTGGGGTCATCCTTGTTGGAGGTTTCCTGGAGCCGTGCTGCACACCTTCCCTCTCGAGGTGAGGAGAGCGGGGATCCTGGCTGGCCCCAGGGTTTGTGGATTGCCTGGAAAGGTTCTTCTGGGTTGCCTGAAACCTGGAAGGTTTTCTCCCTTCTCCTGACTGCTTCCACCCAAATTCCACTTGGCCTGTCTCTTCTCAGCCTGTTGGTGACATTCCCACTTGAGTGGCGCTGGGAGCTGCCGGTGGTGGTTGGTTAGGTCTTGCTCCGTGAGTATACATGGGGCCAGGAGGCTGACAGGAGCAGTCGGGGTGACCTCTTCTGCTTGACAGTGGTTTGGGTGTGTTCTCTTCGACTTTGGGGTCTGTGGGGAGAGGGAGGCCTGATGCCTCCCCACCCTTTGCCCTTGGCGTTGGGTTTCCACCCTGCAAGTCGACCAGGGAACAGTGGATGCACAGAAGCAAGGAAACCCCGCTTCTAATGGGGCGGGCCACTGCCTAATTCTGTTTCCTGCTGTGGATCTGGGCCGATGCAGAAAGTTTCTTGTAATTTCTCTGGATTTATTCAAGAAATAGTCCCTCCCTCCCCCTTCCCCCCACTCCCCATAAACGGCTCAGAGAAATGCCAAGTTATCAGGAAGTACGGAAAGACCAGAACGTTGTGGTAGCAAAACCAATACAGAAATAAAAAATCTTCGATACGCTGGCCCTGATCCTAGGCTGGTGTGCCTGGGCCCGGCTTGGTGCACTGCACTAGAGGCAGCGATGAGATAATGCTTTTAAAAATGGGAGGTGTGGATGTGGGCTGCTTGCCTGTTGACCTCTGTTGGCGTCCAGTAGGGGGCTCCCAGTTTTCCTAGGCTAGCCTTTCTAGCTTCCAGCCGGGGCTGAAGACCAGTTCTTTCCCTGAAGGAAATGGATAGCAGCTCCCCATTCTCCTTGACCCCTATGACCCCACCAAGCAATGCTGTCCGTTGCATATGCTCAAGCCAGCCCACCAGCGGGATTCCCCTTCCAGAACCTTCCCGGCTCTTTTTTCTCTTTGGTGGCCAGGTGCCATGTTGCTGGGTAAAGAGCATGGCGGGCTTGGCTTGGCTCTTTCCAAGGAAACCCCACCATGGCCTTCTCTCTCCTTTCTCCTCATCCACAGGTGTCTCTTTCTGCCTTTCTCCCCCAAAGCCCCGGGGATTGGCACTGTCTTCTGGGTGAGGAGGAGTTAAAAGGTGTTTCTATGGCAACTCCAGGCCCTGCACCCTAGTGAAGTGTTTAGGAGAAGAATAAACTACATGCTGGCTTATGAAACATACTGTGGGGAAATGGGAAGGACTTGGCAGCAGCCACGATATCGGCGGCCCACTCCCCACCAGCCATGCCCTTGAAACTCCTGACAAAACCTTGACTCTGGAGGAGGGAAGGGAGGGGGCTGGGAAGGGAGAAGGCAGCCTTGGCCGGGTAGATCCTGCTCCAGCAGCTCTGTCCAGCTCAGGAAGGAACGGGCAGTGCCAAGCGCCTTCTGAAAATTGGGATGTGTGTGTGCATGCACGCGCGCGTGTGTGTAAGGGGGGCGGGTATGTCTGCAGTGGGGGGTGCAGCAGAGAGAATTTTGCTTCAGAAAACCAAGCCCTTCTCTGTGCCCCCTTCACCCACCCCTCCACATAGACAAACAGTGCTGTGAGATGGAGTGTTGGGGGCCTGCTCCCTGAGTCTGTTGGGAATTCGACAGTGAGGCTCTGCTTGGGGGCCTGCTGCCAGTCCTGGAGGATGGTCCCTGGATATCTCCTAGTTGTTTTGACAGGGACCAGTGCCAGCGGATTCTTTCGGTATCAGATCTGAAGTTGTGGTTTTAGCAAAGAAGCCATTTTCAAAGAAGCCAGAGTCATTCCCTATCGGACACACATACAGAATTAGACTCCACACTGGGCTCTGTGACTTAGGGGGAACAAAAAGGATCAGACTTCAGAGAGAAGCCAGCCACTTGGGGAGGGCACCCAGACTTTCCACATCTTGGGAACCTTGGGAAGAGGAGGGAAGGGCCATCTCTTAGACCCTTGCTGGGTACAAGCACTTCACAGACCTAAGGGCTTTTGGCCACCCAGCAACCTCAAGCGCAGGTGCTATACCTGGTTTTTCAATGGAAAATGCAGAGGCTAAGAGAAGTCCTGCTTGCCTGAGGTCACCCAACTACTAAGTGGGAAGGCTAAATTCATTGTTAATCCATTCTTCAAAAGCTTTTCAGCTTTCCTTTACTGTTGACATTCTAAGCCACAGGACTCCTCCGAGGACCACGGTGGAATGGACGGTTCACATTTGAAGAATGCTTTACTTATTGATTTGGGAAGTTTTTATTAAAAATATGAAGACAGCCAACTGGCCAGAGGTTTTAATCAAACATCATCATATGGGAGGGAGAAATTATTATTATTATTATTATTATTATTTTATCTTAGGGTAAAAATAGAG